TTTATCTTATCTCTGTTCAGTCTTACCTTGAAGCAAGAATTCATGTTCTCCCCTTGAAAGGCTTTTCCTTTATCTTCTCTACCAAACTAAATTCTCAACAATTCTTTAGCATACCTTTGTACCACAGGATCTAGCACCAAACTGCTTCAGTCTTTAGAAAGCAGAACAAAAGTGTAGGAAAGAAGACTAACTGTAAGACAGACAGAACCTCTGCCACCAACCCTGCCTCTGGCGTTTGCTAGTTTGTGTGACCGTGATTAAAGTAATAATTTCAATTATCTTAATGAAGAGTTTATTTTTTAAAAAAATAATGCTAAATCATTTCATGTGTTGATTATGAAATAACATGTTCATCATCATGATCCTAATAGCAATGATTTACTGGTTTTCAAGTACTGCTTTCATTTATTATCTCACTTAATCCTCATAATAATTCGAATGTAGAATTCATTTCTTACTATTGCATAGATGAAATAATTTACATAAAAGAAGCTACTGTCAAGTGTCTACATAGCAGGAACTCAATATGCCGTAAATTCCTTCTTACATTACTTAGAGTGAATAGCATTCATTTCTGGCACTAAATAACAAGACTCATTCCTGCACATCAGGTTTCTGAAAGACACTGACTAGCTTATATTTTCCTGTGTATTTTACGAGACAACACCCACTTGAAGAAGTGTATTTTGTCTATTCCCTCCTATTTATACCAACAATTAGTACAGTACAGTATCTGGCATAATTGAAGAACTCAAATTGAAACAAACTGAACTCTCAAATCTAACCAATTTCACCTAAAGAACCAGAATAGTGAAGACTAGACCTGTGGCAGAGACCACTGGCTATTCATCAAAATCAGTTTACTTTTCTTCCAAAGCAGTCAGCTAGATAACATTTCCCAGCCTCCCTGCAGTTAGATGTGGCCACATAACTGAATTTCTGCCAATGGAAAGTAAAGTTAAGTGACTTATGGTTTATTAAAATCTTGCAAGCATTCTCATCTACTGAATGGGATAACATTCCCCAAGGAGTTGAAGACGACATAGGTGGAAGCCACAGATTAAAGATGGCACAGCCTGAGTCACACAATAACTACTCCAGCCTCACAATGACCAACACACCTGCCTTACACTGCACAAGACATAAATTTGTACTGTGTTTAAGCCAATATGTGAGGGGGCTTGAAAAGGTTAGTGGAAAAATTCCATCATTTTTTAATTTCATTGTTCCATTAACTTTTTGAAGCTCCCTCATACATTTTCAAAGTCTATTTGATACAGCTCATAGCAATACTCTGATAAATACAAAACAGTTAAGTCCTGTTAAGTATTTGTTCAATATTGGTTGTCTACATGGTAAGCAACTACCAAATATCTGAACAGTACTTACTGGCATAGTGGGGCACATTGGGAGCTGTATGAAAAAGTTTGTGGATTCCATGCCCACAGTAGCTTCGAACAACTGAAAACCCATTTGCTTGGGCATGCTTCTGAATAATGTTTCCTAATTCTCTGTATCGAACACCAGGTTTCACTGAAAGGAAAAGAGAAGAGTCATGACAAAGAGGAATAATGACTAATATTCACTAAGCGATTACCATCTACATGCCAGGAACTTTGAAACATGTTTTTACATGCCTACTTGCCTTAATATACAGACGCAGAAACCAAGGCACAGAGAGATTAGTCAGTAAATAGCAAAGCTGAGATTCAAACGGTTATTGTTGTTAAATGTCATTGAGTCGGTTCCAACTCTTAGTAACCCTGTATAAGGGTTTCCAAGGAACGGCTGGTGGGTTTGAACTTCTGACCTTGTGGTTAGCAGTCCAGTGCTTATCCTATAGTACCACACCAGGATTCCCTATAATTCCTCCTTTGAAGTCAGAAAAGAAGAAAGCATGTATAGTATTAAAGGTTTGGGGAGAGGCACTTTTGCTTTCTCTTAGAAAATAGGTGAAAAGTATGGTTTCCTTCCTCTCCTTCCCTAAAACCCCAGTGATTTCTATTCTAATCTTAAAGTGAGGAAAAGAGAGTAAAGAACACAAAAAGGGAATAGCCAAAAAGTAACATGACTTGTTCTGAGTTATAGTCTAGTTAACTTTAGAAACAATTGCTTCACTCCCCCTGGCCTGTTATCCCCCAAAAATGGTGCTCAAACTGTTCTCAGCTGTTTTCTCTGCAGGTGGACCAGGGGAAAGAGGGCAGACAAAGGTAATTTTCACTATAAACACCCTTTCTATTTAAATTTTTATGACTTATTGTTGTTTCAATAAAAACTAAAACTAAAGAATTGAATCTCATTGCTGCTATGGTCTTCTAGCACTGAAAGCCCAGAAGCCGGGCACTGCTTAATTTATGGTCTAGTTTAATTTAGGGAGAATGAGGGAATATCATTGATTTTAGGAAATCATGCTGACTTTCGCATTCATTTTCTTATATTCCTACCCAATTATTCTTATCAGTCTTGGTCAAAGGGATGGTGGTGGTACAGGGATGTTTGCAAATTTTTAATCCATGTCACACAGTATACAGCAAGAAAATTCCTATTTATCAAACAAGAGGGTAGGAGAGAGGGGGGAATTCTTCCCCAATTCTCAATGGAGAGCTGGGGAATTTCGACCTTAAGGGGGGAAATTTGTTAATAGCTCGAGACATTTTTAATTGTCAACTGGCATGCAGTGGGGAGGGATGCTGCTAAACAGGCTACAATGCACAAGATAGACCCCCTACAACAGAATTATCAAGTCAAAAATGCCATTAATGAGAAGGTTGAGAAACCCTATTCTAGGTTTCTTTTTTAACACTCACTGGTCACTAAACTCTCTCTCTACTGTCTGCACCAGTACAGGAAGCCAAAGTAGAAAACAGGCAAGAACAGTATGTACAAAGGTGCTAACAGTACGTACTGTTCCATAGACCAAGCAACTTTTTTCTTTCCTGGCTACTGTTATAAGGACTTTGTTTTTTGGCAAGGTTTATACCTGTGTGTTTGTAAAATAATATCCTAGCTGTCTGATTACTTCAATCAATTAAAAATATATAGACATTAAACATATTCTAACAGAAACTTCAAAAATTACTTTTAAACTGGAGCTTCTAAAAATAGGAATATACATTAAAATCCTCTTCTCACACACAATACAAGGAAACCAAGAATTCTTATACTACCAAGAATATTAGTTTATTACAACCAAGAACTAGAGAAAAATGTTACCTATAGATACCTGAAAATATAATGTTGTTTCATTGTCCATTATTCCAACTTTATTAAATAAGTAAAAATATCATGATTTCCTGTGCACATTAAAGAATGGACTAAAAACTAAAAATAATGATCAATGTTATCACAGATTACTATGTTTGCCTTAAAATTCTTTCCTGCTCAATACCTCTTTTCAATAATGTCATATGCATGTGAAAGTTGGACTGTGAATTAGGAAGAAAGTAGAATTTTTGCATTCGAGTTACGGTGTTGGAGGAGATTATTAAAAGTACCATGGACTGCAAAAAGAACAAACAAATCTGTGTTGGAAGATGTATAGCCAGAGTGCTCCTTAGAAAGCCAGGATGGCCAGACTTCATCTCTCCTACTTCGGACATATCATAAGGAGGGACAAGTTACTAGTGAAGGATAGCATATTTGGTAAAGTGGAGGGTTGGAGAAAAAGAGGAAAACTCCCAACACGATAGATTGGCACAGTGGTGGCAGCAATGAGCTCAGGCATAGCAATGATTGTGAGGCTGGCGTGGGGCTGACTTTCATTTTGTAGTGCTTAGGATCGCTATGAGTTCATACCAACTCGATGGCAGCTAACAACAACTTCTTTGACAATGAATAGGGGTTTGGTTTGGTTTGGTTTTTTTTCAATGTTTTATTGTGAATTATATGGTAGTTTACATGAGAGAACTTTAGTTTTACATTCATTCCATCGTATATCATCTCATTGCCATGGTTCCAATCCCCTCCATGCATCATCAACCAACCAAAGGGTATATCCTAGAAACCCGGCCCCTACACTCCTCCCCCACTCCAGTTTTCGGCCCATAGTCCCTTTCCCTCTCTGGATCCAAAGTCCAAAGTCCCCAGCTGCTTCATTACTCCACGTCATCCACATCATCGTCATCCACATCATCGTCTCTGTCTCCATCTCAGGCATCTCTGTTTCTCTGGGTAGGGTCCCGCTCTCGGCTCTTCTCCGTTGATGGTCCCAGATAACTCCGCTCCTAGCCTAGCCTGTAGAATTAATCACTCCCTTCCTTGTTCCAAATAGTCTACCTTTGCATTTCCAACCCTCATAATCCGTCCTGATAAGCATTATTCACTACAGTATTGCGAGTTACCCATCTGTATTTCCTTTCATCCGCTCCGCCCAGACAGACTGAATAGTACCTACTGGAGATTCTGTCTTCCTCCATGCTCCCTAGCACTAGGTTTCCCCTTGAAAGCTTGTAAGGCAGTCACTTCTTGCCTTTGTCGTTCCCCCCTCCCCATTTGAGTATCCAATGTCCAAGCTGCCCATCTCTGTCCACTCTGTGTGTGGAGGGGGTGGTAATGATTCTTGCTTTAAGGATTTGTTCCTTCTTTTGAGTTGCTGCTCCATAGGTATAGGTCAAGTTCATCAGATTGTATCAGCGCTCTCTTTTTTTTTTTTCCGCCCCTCTTCTTTCTTCTCCTGGCTGAGCTCTGTTCATCCAGTCATCTGGTCCAGGTCACATGGGTATCATCTGCAAGTGTGGGCGCTCCTGTGCACATGCCCTCTCTTCCCGTCGGCCAGTAGCTGCACTCTCCTCTCGAGTCCTCGGTGGCCACACCACTGACTCTGGGCCCAAGACTCCCCAGGTCTCCTCACACTGCTTGCCATCTAGGTCCCCAACTGGGTCCACATGGTTTTGTTTTTTTAAACGGAGGCAGACATTGCTATGGATATCAACTGAAAAGCTGTTTGCCTCTATGATACTTAAGGTTTTGTGTCAATTTGGATAAGCCAAGATTCTCAGTGGTTTAGAAATTAAGATCTGTGGTGCTGTAGGATAAGCACTGAGCTACTAATCGCAAGGCTAGTGGCTCAAACTCACCAGTCGCTCTTTGAAAACCTACACAGGGTCACTATGAGTTGAAACCAACTTGATGGCAACAACATTATCACCTATATGATGAGCTCTATTATGATGCAATCACCCCATGATGTGATCTGATATAATCAGGTTTGATCTGATCTAACCATCCTTTACATTGTAAATCCTCACTTCTATGATGTTAACGGGGAAGGACATCCTGTTTGGTAAAGTAGAGGGTCAGTAGAAAAAGAAGACCCCCAAACAGATGGATTGGCACAGGGGTAGCAGCAATAGGCTCAAGCCTAACAATTACGAGGTTGGCGCAGGACCAGGCAGTGTTTCATTCTGTTGTGCACAGGGTCCTTATGAGTTAGAACATGTGGGCCAGCACCTAATAACAACAATGATGTTAATGAGGTCAGATGCATTCTACAGGATTATGTTGTTATCTTGAGTTTATCTCTTTTCAGATATAAAGGGAGAGAGAATTGAGCAGAGAAAGAGGGACCTATATATATCACTAAGAAAGAAGAAGCAGGAGTGGGGTGTGTCCTTTGGACCTGAGATCCCTATACAGTGAAGCTCCTAGATCCAAAGACAGATTGATACCATGGAGATCTCCAAAGAATGCCAGGGCTACCTTAGTGGTTACAAATCAGGCTGCGAACCGCAAGGTCAGCAGTTCAAAACTACCAGCTGTTCTGCCGGAGAAAGATGAGTCATTCTGCTCCCGTAAAGATTAACAGTCTCGGAAACCCTGTGCAGGGTCACTATGAGTCGGAACCGACTCCAAGACACATAAAAATAACAACAGATGCTGAAAGGAGCCAAGGACCTTTCCCTAAGCCACTGCTCTGAGTCCTGGTGTGGTGCTATAAGAAAACACTAAACTACTAACCACAAAGTCAGTGGTTCAAATCCACCAATCCACTAGCCGCTCCTTGGAAGCCCTATATAGGGTTGCTATGAGTTGGAACCGATTCAATAGCACTTAACAACAAAATGAGAGAATAAATTTCTGTTTGTTAAAGTAGCACTAGATAAACAAAGACAACCTCTAAACTGTCCCTTTGTACTAGTCTTACCATTTGCAACAAATCTTTCCTTTCCTTTTTGGATTCTGAAAAAGGGGTTGTTGTTGTTGTTAAGTGCTGTCGAGTCGGTTCCGACCCATAGCGACCCTGTAAAAGGTTTCCAGG